ACAGAAACGTGAAATATGACCGAGTTGACCACAGTTGTAACAATGAACTGGTGGTCGAGGACCATTACCATTCGCATTGCCTAAACCATTCGACGCCATCCCGAAAGAGCGAAGTCACTCAACTGTAGTGTAATCTCTACATCGGTTCCTTCGTGCAATGAAGTTGATCTAGCAAGGTCAGAACAACGGATAGTCAAGATGGAAAAACAGCAACGTAACACTGAGCAAACACTTCGAATCATCCAAACCAACAAACACTTGACACATCAGTAGACTTCAGAAAAGTGACGACTGACACAGAAGGTAGACGACAGGAAACTGACGATAGACAACAGACAGGTGTCCCCGAACGCGACTGTAAAATTAAGATAATCATGAAGTCCAATGCGGAATAACCGCAGGCGTATGACCCGACCGGTTTCGCCTAGCCGCCGAACTAGGCTCATCAGGGGTCTGACAATCGGTTTGACGGACACAAGAACTGTTGAAACTATATACTAAAAAAATTCTACACTACACAATGTTCTGTCTCATACACCTTGTTGAAAGCAGTCTGGTTAATTCGCAGTCTGAATCTGGACCAAAAAATCTGTCGCGTTCCAATCAACCCATATTCGAAAAAAAAACTACTTCTATAGGAAACAGAACCCATTGTGCCTGCGACAAACAGTCGGTACCCAAATACCCAAATCCCTTAATCGATATCCCAATTCTCTCAAGTCCTTGCGCTGATACCTCGAATACCCCAAATCCTCAAACCAATACCCCCTACACCACACAAGTAAATCCTACAAACAAATACACAATTCATCGAACCAATACTCCCAAAGAGGCCTAGGGACAATCCCACAGTACCAGCCTTGGTTGTGACTGTGTCGCTCCTCCTGCAGACCTTTTTGGCTCCAACAACTTCTCCTCCAACCTTTAGCAGACCAATTCCAGCAGCCACTCCACCAGCATGATGCTCCTCTCTGCAAGAGCCAATGACACTTAAGCCATCATCGTGTGAGTATGGGGCTTATTAGACCCTCCTTGGAAAATCCTCAGGAATTATGATGAAGTCCTTGGATTTTTTTTTTGGTTTTTGGCGCCATCGTTACACTGCATCCTAATTCGATGGGTCCCAAGGAAAACCCTTGAAGGTCTCCGACGACCAATTTCATACGCAGACACGCGGCCACGGGGGTGGATGTTCGTTATCCTGCTGGGATGTTTGCCTCGGGCGCGGTCCAGTGGCGGAGGCGGGGAGGCCTACCAGGCTGAAGAAACAAAAGGGCGCCAACATCCCGATTCAAATTTTGAATTTCGAACTCTCCGTTGTGACGCATCCACACCTGAGGCGTCCTGGTGGCTGAACTGGAGACTGGGGCGAAACGTCTGTGCGGAGGAGTGATGGCGGCCATAGCTTAAAAGGCGAGCATTGAAACGTTGGGCGACGTAGAGTGTATGTGTAACAGTTCTCGACTGCGACGTCACCTTAGTGTTTTGCATCCTCTTCGAGCCATCACAACTGAGCGCGAACGTAACCTTCCGTGAAATGTGGAGAGTGTGAGCGTGGTCCCCATCGATGTGCAAAAGGTGCAGCGAGGATGCCGACGAGCAAACGAGTGGTAGGCGCTTGTGCATTACAAATCCCGACGATGGAGGGAGAGCTCTCGGGTGGTGCAAAGGCATTAACGAGAAACATGGTGGCCACAACTGTGTCAGTTGTCGCCATGCGTTATCGCATTGAGAGAATGCCATCTCGCTTGAGGATGAGATTATCCGTTCGCCGGCAGAGGCAGCTGATGCAACAAGTGATGGATGCACCCGATTGTGTGTCGTTATCGGAATCCATTGTGCAATTTTGTTGCGTTATGGCATCTGGTGCGATCCTGCAGGCGACGCCGAGATGGTGGATGAGGAGAAGGACGGGAGGGTCATGGGAGGATCTTCGCCAGGTTGATGACACGGTGGAGGGCTACTACAGGAGAAGTTGTGGAGTGGAGTGGTCAATGGCGTGTGTCGACTGTCTGTAGGAGTTTTCCCACCTGTCCATTGTCGTCTTCCTCACCGTTCGTCGTTTCCGTTTGTTGCCAGGACCCCACACACCGACGCGCACGTGAAACAACAAGACAAGGAGCAAGAGAAGAGTGGCCTGGAGCAGGAGCAGGAACCGCCGGAGGACGTCTGCCATGAATTGCAGCACGCGAGGCGTGTACCAAACAAAGCTTGTATCAATGTGCCTGACAATAGTTGACAAAACGCGCTAGGTAGATGACTACAATCAGCATACAGTTCTTCAACATCACCTGTAGAAAAATAAAAAAATTCGACCGTTGGACACCGCAGTCGGCGACGCGCGCACGGAAAACCCCACTTCATGAAGCGCCTTGCAGCTGACGGAAAAGAAAAAGTGAAAAAATTCTTCTATTGTTTTTTTTTTTTTTTTTTCTGAAAGGAAATGCATCTGGCGGAAATCAGGGCCAGACACAGACAAGACTGCAATCGCGTCCAGAGGTTTGTCAAGAAAGTCCTCTTGTGAGCAAGAGCATCGCTCCACTACAAACACTCTACATGCATTTTGACGTTTTGTGGACCAGTTGCGCTCAGACGAATCCAACATGTTGAATGTATCTATCCCAGAAAGTGTCCAATTACATGGAGAGTGTTGTGTAGAGGAGCGAGGCCCTAATGCCCTGAATCGCAGACGAATGCGAGGCCCGCTCAAGAACGACTGTGAGATCAGGGAAAAACTGCGTGGGAGTCACAAAAATGAGTTATAATTGCACTATGGGCCAAGATACAATTTCGAATTGCAGTTCGGGCAATGTATACAACCCAACTTTCTTGCCAGGTAGGGTGCCCGAAGTGCAACTGTAAACTGTATCTTGCCCCATAGTGCAATTATAACTCCTTTTTATTCTTTACTGAAGTTACCCCTTTACTCCGAGATTCCTTTTGCCTTTTGGGTAAGCCGGAATTGAACTCATGAAGTGTTTGCTAGCAGTCACGTTTCTCCAGTTGTGGAAACAAAATCTTCTATGTACTTGTATTCAAACGTGCGCCTCAAGGCATCCCATCAAAATCACGGGAGAGCTGCGGCACAAAACGACAAAAGGGGGTCCAATCGAAACAACGCGAAACCTGCGCTATACTACAACAAAACCGGCTAGACTACACGAAACCCTCGATTCCGCAAAACTCTCCCCTGCGTGGACTCGACCTCACGCCGGGTGTGCAAAAAAAAAAAAAAAAGACAGCCCGCCACACAACTCCCCGAGACACCATCTGTCCCACCCAAGCACCACGTGGGCCTCATTTTTGCTGGGCCCATTGGCCCGCCTCACAGTTTAAAGGTTGTATTGATTGGTATTGATGTTTTTTAATTTTTTTTTTGAATGAACAGCCTGAGCTAGTGCTAGGGGTGCTGATAAGAGCAGGCACCACTATCACTCTCGGGGAGGCTCCGTCTATGAGTGGGGAGCAGCACCTGCTGAAAATCGGGTCAGCGTCCCTGAACATCATAGCTGCTTATCTGCCAAAACATCCGATTGTGGCTACTGCCAGCCGTGTGGCACACTCTATTGATATTGATATTGATTACGTGTCTTTCCTAGTCCAGTGATGACCTTCGAGGTATAATCGTCCGACTGCCTGGTCCCAGGTAATTCAGAGGTAATTTTACTCATCGAAGGGACCGGTTGCACTACTCGCCATAGGCCAAGTTTGGCGAGGAGGCGCCTGGTTCCACTTACTCGCCTGAAAAATGTGTCAGACTGCTCGCCACACCGTCCACACAAGTTGTGGCGAGTGTTTTCAGTTCCCCCCACTGTCCACGCCGGTTTGTGGAGGGTCGTCCTGGGACCTCTCCACAAAACAACTTTCTGGAGAGTGCACCGCTTCACGAGTCTACATCAGGTAGACTAAAAATTTTAACTTTTCTGTAGAAGAAATATAGTGGCGAGTAAGTGCAACCAAGCCTCGAGTTGACGTATGGCGAGTAGTGCAACTAGGCCCTAAGGCAGAGGAGTTGAACATAGGTCTGGGGGTACCATTCAGCCACATGGACTGGGTACCAACAACGGTACGGTAGGTAACGCAGAGGGTTCGAACATAGGTCTGGGGGTACCATTCAGCCACATGGACTGGGTACCAACAACAGTACCGTGGGTAAGGCAGAGGATTAGAGCATAGGTCTGGGAGTACCAGTCGGCCACATGGACTGGGTACCAACAAGAGTACCGTACGTACAAAGCCACATTGCTTTTATCTTTTATTTTGTCGTTTTCTGATTTCTTTCTGCGGTTAGCGCGCAGGCTCGAACTGGAAGTTTCTCAAACATTCTCAACAGTATCGTCCGGTTTCTGAGTGCGTGTGTGTGTGTGTGTGAGAGAGAGAGAGAGAGAGAGAGAGGGGGGGGAGACGAGGGGAGAGACGCCGAGAGAGGGAGAGAGAGAGGGCCAGAAGCTACCCCGTTCTTTCTCTCTCCGAGGTAGGGGAAACCTTGAAAACGGGTTGGAAGGGGGGGAAGGGAGGGAAGAGAGGTGAGTGCGTGCGTGAGTGAGTGATGGCTGTTTTGAAATATGTAATGCTGCTTCAGCGCGATGTGCCGAGAGCCGCAAAGTTCTATACTGAGGGTCTAGGGCTTAAGTTGATCGTGTGCACCGATCGATGGGCAGAACTTCAATCCGGACCGTTGAAATTGGCGCTGAAGAAGGTGGAAACCGAGGCCGGTTGTACAACTGGATACTCTCCTTTCTTGTCGTTTAATGTTCTGGATCTTCCCGCTACTGTTGCGAAGCTCGTATCTCTGGGAGCGATTATGGACGGACCTATCAAGCATGACATTCACGGAAAAGCTGCTGCCGTCAGGTCGCCAGACGGACACATGATTGGACTCTACGAGCCAGGGGAGGGTAACAAGTAGTTACGCCTCGGCGTGCCGTCAGGTCGCCAGACGGACACATGATTGGACTCTACGAGCCAGGGGAGGGTAACAAGTAGTTACGCCTCGGCGTGCCGTCAGGTCGCCAGACGGACACATGGTTGGACTCTACGAGCCAGGGGAGGGTAACAAGTAGTTACGCCTCGGCGGCGTCTCTTTTAGGAGAGGGTCTTCGTGCTTTTTTTTTTTAATCTCCCTTCTTTCCTCCCCCTTCCTTCGGCTCTCGGTCCGGGTCTTCATCGTCATAAGCACTCTCTGTCCCTGTACTGCTGCTCTATTGATCTCCGTGCGCGGGGGTCTCGATAATCCTCTGCGTCTGTGTGTGTGTGTGTGTGTGTGTGTGTGTGTGTGTGTGTGTGTGAGAGAGAGAGAGAGAGAGAGAGAGAGAGAGAGAGAAAGAACTCGATCGATCAAGGAGTGATCGGCTAGAGAAGGGTTTCGTATTAGGTTCGAAGCTGCCGATCATCTCGTGATGCTGACGTGGACTGATGCGGACGTGGACTGATGCTGACGTGGACATCAATCACGCGAACAGTTGGGGAGTGATTTACCGATCATTGTGAACTAAGTAATCACTCGATGAATTCGTAAGTTGGTGATCGTTCGTCTATTGGGCGTAGTAGTGACAATTGCGCTGCGGCTGTTTGCAGGAGATCCCGATTGTTCTGCACCCGTAGAGGACCGACTAGACTTGCTGCAGTTGTTCATTGTCGGTGAGAGGAGAGGAAGGGAGAAGTAAAGGAGGAGGAGAGGAATAGGAAGAGCGAGGGAGCAGGGAGAGGGGGGGGTGAGGAGGAGGAGGAGGAAGAGGAGGTCAAGGATGGGTTATCCGAAGGAGAGTGAGGACGACGATGATAGAGAAGGGAGTCGATACGGGGATGAAAGCTGGACAAAGAAGGCGAAAGAGATGGAGGAGGGGGGTGTGCAGAAGGCAATTGTGAGGGAGGGTGAGGGCAAGAAGCGGCCGAAGAGAGGACACTTGGCGAGTTTTCATTGCTCTATCAAGATTGAAGAAGGAGGAGGAAGGGGAGAAGGAGGAGGAGGAGTAGGTGGAGGGGATATGGCAGAACCCTTGCCCAGCAGATTACTTTACTCGAGCCGGAGGGAGGAAGGGGGGAGAGGATCGCCTTGGCGGGTTGTGTTGGGAAAAAGGAAGACGGTCTGGGGGCTCGATTATGGGTTGCTGTCAATGAAAAAGGGAGAGGTGGCGGTTTTCAGGATCCGTCCGAAGTATGGTTACGGCGATCCCGATTGCCCGGTGGCTGTTCCAACGAAAGGGATCCCGACCGATCGCGATCTGCTGTTCCACGTGGAGCTCCTTGATTGGGTGGAAGTGAAGAATCTCACGGAAGATTGGCATATAACGAAACGCGTCTTGGAGGAGGGAGCAGCTTGGGAGACGCCAAGGCCTCCCTACGAAGTGGACATTTCGGTAATAGCACGGCTATGGCCATCCGGCAAAACTGTATTCCACTTCACCGAGGATGAGCCGTTGCACGTCGTGATGGGAGAGGGAGGGGTGAGCGAAGCATTGGAGAGAGGGGTCGGTTCGATGACGGAGAGAGAGAGAGCGTTGATAAGGTGCACGTCGAGAAAATACTTTTCTTCTTCATCATCTTCTTCTATTTCTTCTTCTTCTTCTTTTTCGTCGTCGTCGTCATCGACTGCTAGTGCATCGATCAAACCTGGGAGGAGAATGGAGAAGCAGGTGGTTTTAGGTTTAGGAGGGAGAACGAAGGAGGAGGAGGGAGAGGAAGGAGAGGTGGAGTATGACGTTCGATTGGTGAAACTGTATCAAGTTCGGGATGTGTTAGGAGATGGGGAGGTGATAAAGAGGAGGATCAAGAATGGAAGAGGTGATTTCCCCGTAGATTGCCCTCTAGAGGACTGTGTAGTCCGCATTCACTGCAAAGCAAAAGTGCTTAGGGAGGGAGGGGGTAGTAGTAGTAGTAGTAGTAGTAGATGGCGGGAAGAGCAAAACGACAAACAAAATGATGACGTATTCTTCTGGAACACTTGGAAGGGAAAAGTCTGCCCTGGCGTGATAAGCGGCGCCATAGCTCCTCCGGACTCTTCTTCTCCTTCTTCTTCTTCGTCTTCGTCGTCGACTAAGAACTTGGAAACCGCGTCAGCATCGGAATCGAGATCGCGACTGCAGGGGAGGCCGTTGGTGTCGGGGCCGTGCACTGGTGATGGTGGGGGGAAAGAGGGAGGAAGAGGAGGGGAAAGAAGGGTGAGTGAGGAGAAGGGGGCGGCGGTGGGAGAAGGCCAAGAAGAGGAAGGAGGAGATGGGGGACCACCACCTCCACCTCCTCCTCCACCTCCTTTCGAGTTCGCTACCGGCGAAGGGGCAGTCCCGATAGCCCTAGAGAGTGCTATTCGACTGATGATACCAGGCGAGATAGCGACGGTGATCAGTACTGGAAAACATGCGTACGATTCCTTCCATCTTCGACCTGATGGGGTCGGGCCGGGTGCTTCCATCCTGTGGGAGGTGGAACTCGTCAGTTTCGAGAAACCTAAAGATTTTGACGAGATGAGTTTTCCCGAGAGCATGATGGAAGTCAACAGACACAGAGAGAGAGGGAACGCACTGTTCAAGGCCGGAAGGTTCCTTCTTGCAAAGACTAAGTATAAGAAGACTCTACGCAGTTTGGAAAACGTGATGTGTAGGAGCGAAGAGGAGAGAGAGGAGACGTGGAGGGCGAAGACGATGCTGCGGCTGAACATAGCCGCCAGCATGCATAAATTGAACGAGTACGTCGAGTGCATAGCCGTGTGCAGCCAGGTGCTGGAGGAGAACCCCGCCAATGTGAAAGCGTATTACAGAAGAGGGTTGGCATACATCTGCACGGGGGATTTCGACGAATCGCGGGCGGATTTCAAAAAGATGATGGAACTAGACCCGGCATCTGGACCAGATGCGAAGGCGGGGCTAGTCCAGCTGAAAAGGAAGGAGCAAGAGTATAAAGCGAAGGAGAAGGCGCAGTTTGGCGGGTTCTTGGACAACGCAATCGTTCAAGATCCCGACCTGGGACCACCACCGGAGCCCAAACCGGTGGACGAGTTGTTGATCGACAGCAGTTCGAGCGGTCGTCGGTCGAAAACTGTCGATCATCGGACGGCGGTGGGAAGAGGGCTTCGTCACCGAGGAGGAGGAGGAGGAGGAGGAGGAGGAGGAGGAGGAGGGATGAAGAGTGGGGCGGGTAGAACGGAGCAATGGGAGAGTTCAGATCGGGACGGAGGTGATGGGGAGGAGGGGGAGGACTGGGGGGGGG